CAGCGTTTTGCGATGAATGCGTATTGCATTGATGTGGCAATGAATGTGTGAAGTCGTTTCGGCCGTGGCAATGTTTGCACAGACCTGGTAATTATGCATGGTGTGTTCTTGCAGTTGAGGGCCTTCTCAGGATATGCGGTTGCCGTGTTCGTTAGATACGCTAAGCTCAAACGTGGTGAGTCTTTTTTCTTTTGTGTCAGTTGCGCCGAATGGGGAGCCATGGCTTGTTGGGCCGAATGCAAGCGAAGCGTGATACGAATTTTGGTGGCGGCGCGCTCTTGTCAGCCCTCTCGGGCGAGCGCGTTTGCTTTGGCGGTGCTGCGTATCACCTTGCGTGGGCAGGGTTCCGTGGCAATCAGGCCGTTCTGATTGCCCCCCCTCCAGCGCCCCCCGAAAGCCGCGCACCAAAGGTCGCTCTGGCAAAGGGCCACTCTCACGCGTAGTCGACTCGAGTGGGCACTAAAGGCCTCCTGATGGGGTTCGAGAAGATGGGGTCGGAGGATCGCGCCGCATCGCCAATGCGTCGGCGACGTCGGCGTCAATAGCATCGGGCTCCACAGCGAGCCGCATGGCCGATGAATCGGCGATGCGGCGCGATTCTGCGACCCATCTGCTCGGATCCCATCTGGTCGGGGGCGTCCAGCAGGGGGGGCGTCCAAGAATGGAGGCCGCGAGTGGGTCGAGGCATGTGCGCGGCCCAAAGTGAGGGGGGGGGGGGCTGGGGGACGCATTAAAACAAGAAGAGGCGCCCAAATTCGGGGGAGACATCATGGCCCCCGCCACGATGTCCACCCCCCTGGCCATCACCGCTCTCTTGGACGCAACCCGACCTGGGTGTCCTGGACTCGCCATCGCCCGGACGCCCATTCCCCCGTGCGTTCTTCGGCCTCGTGCGTGCATTTTCTCGCAAGATGACCCACGGCTCCTCGATGGTCTTCGCCGGAAAAAAATATCACACGTCCGAGCGATGCCAAATCCAAGCGCGCCTGCCCCCAGCCGCCGCCCGCCTGGGACCCGGGTCCGGCCCGAGCAGCCGCGACTGGCTGTAGTGCGGGAAGCGCACCGAGTAGCTCCCGGGCCTGGCGCCGAGGACCCTGCCACACACGTGGCCACCTCCCACGGTCCGCAGCTCTCCCCGCTGCTCGCTCTGCAGGAGCCGAGGGCAACACGGCGCTCGTGCCACAAAAGTCTCGGGGCACCCCCGACGCGACTCTCAGCCCGGCGCCGAGGGTGTCGCGCGGAGGGAGGGGGAGGCGGGCACGAGCGCACGAGGGCACGAGGGGGGAGGGAGGGGGAAAGGGCGAGGGGGAAGGGGGGCCACGAGGGCACGAGGGCACGAAGGGAGGCGGGCGCGGAGCGCACGAGGGCACGAGAGGGGGAGGGGGAGGGAAAGGGAAGGGGGGGCGCGAGCACGCGAGGGCGCGAGGGCACGAGGGGAGGGGGGCCACGAGGGCACGAGCGCACGGGGGGGGAAGGCTGAGTGGAGGGAAGTGTGGCGGGCACGAGCGCACGAGGGCTCGAGGCAGAGCGGCAGCGCCTCGAAGGCGAGGCGCTGCGCGGCCCGCGCGCGCGAGCTGAGCCGGGGGGCCGCCGCGGACCGCAGCGGTGGTCGTGCTGGACGGGGCGTGCTCGTGGGTGGCTCGGCCACCACGGAGCAGAGGAGGGAGAGGAGGGGGCAGAGTGACCCTGGAGACCCTGCCTGGTCGCGTAGCGATGTGGTTCCACCTCCGCCGCAACCTTCGATCGGTTGCCTTGCCTCTGGGCTGCCTCAGCCTTGCTGAGGGCTCTGGGCCAGAGACCTGCTTGAATTCTCCTTCAAGATTCTCGACCTGCGAGGGTGGGGTCTTCGCACTTCTCAGCAAGGGGGGGGCTGCCAGCTGCGCCATCGCTTGGAAGAGGCGGGGGGGCTAAAGGCGTCTTGCCTGAATGGCTTCTGACCGCCGAGCAGGGCACTGTTTTTTGAAATCAATGCTCCGTCTTTGCGGCCCCCCAGGGGGGGGGGGTGGCAGACGGCGCTGCGGGGCACGACGCTTTCTCCTGCCGCGTCGATCCGCTCCATCCCTGACCGCTACCTCCCGCTCTCTCTCCTCGCTCCCCTCCCTCTTCCCTAGTCCGCCTCCTCCACGACCGCCTCGACCTCCTGACCTTCCTCCTCCAACTGCCTCCTCCTCCACATCCTCCTTCCTCCTCCTCCTTATGCTGTTGCTGCCGCTCCTCCTCCAACTGCCTTCTCCTCCTCCACTGCCTTCTCCTCCTCCTCCTCCTCCTCCTCATGCTCTGTTCTTCCTCCCTCTAACTGCTCCCCTCGCCATCCTCGTCCTGTGCAACCTCCATCCCCCTCCGACTTCATCCCCCTTCTCGTCGTCCTCACTATCCTTCTTCCCCTCCTCCCCCACCTCGGTCCTCCTCCCCCCTCCCCTCTTTCCTCCTTCTCTTCCCGAGGGCGATTTTCAAGTTGTGGCTCTCGCCTGAGCACCGCGCACATTCGATCTAAACGTCTGCAGCCATTTTACGGGTGGAAGGGTATATCGCTTCCATAATGGATCCAGCGCTGCATCGCTGCGCACATCCGTCTTTGACCACCTACCAAACCACCCCAACCCAACCCGACGACCCGACTTTCGCCCGAATTTCGGGTGGGGGGGGGGGGGCACGGGTCCCACGTGTTTTTTCAATGCTCCCCGACCCCCCCCCGCTGGAAATGGAGGGCACATGGAAGCTTTCGGGTTGGGCTGGGGTGGTTTGGTGGGGTGGTGAGTCTGAACTCGCTGCAATCGCTTCACGGCTGGGGGGGCGGATCCTTTGCAACATCTCGCCGGAGCGCCGCGAGCATTCGTTGCGGATTCTGCAGCGGCTTCGGGGGATTGGGGCGCTGGTCTTTTCTTCAAAGTGGGGCTCTCGCCTCGGCGCCGCGCGCATCCCGATGTCCCTTTGAAATCCATTTGTTTTCAAATCCGACGTTTGTACGCATGTAGCGCTGCACGGCTCTAGGGCGGGGTTCTGGTTCAACATGACGCTGTCGGCAGAGCTTTCCTCGAAGCGTACACATGATGAAGTAGGAAGGCGGATAACGTAGATTGGGATCAGTCCCTCCCAGATAATAGCAGCACCCAGCAACAGCATATCGATTCTTAAAGTAGGGAGGCGCTTGAAGTAGATTGGGATCTGGAAATCCAGCAATACCTACTTCCAACGACTGGCGTGCGAGCTTGTGCAACAGCCACACGTGTAGGGGCGGTGCTATTCGAAAGGGGGATGGGCCAAACACACGAAATGCGATTCCTTTTCAAAGCGGGGTCCCTGCCACAATGGCAGGACCATCTGTGCTAGTCTTTCGAGATGGCACCTCTTGCAGGGACAAGGAAAGCTGTAGTGGCGTACGAGGGGGGCACTTGGGTCGGGAGTGTGTATCGCAACATCGCTGATGCATACTAGGTCTATTCTGGTCCTCCTCCTCCTCCTCCTCCTCTCCCATCGTCTCCTCCTCCTTCTCCTCCTCCTCCTCCTCCGCCTCCTCCTCCTCCTCCTCCTCCTCCTCCTCCTCCCTCCTTCCCCTCTGCATTCTCAACATCTCGCTCTTCCCCGTCCTCCGACTCCCTTCTCCCCCGCCTGCTGCGAAGGGCGCAGGCAAGGGCCTTCCGGCCCTGGGCGCCTGTCCGATAACAGCTTCAGCAGCAGGCGGATGGGGTTGCGACCGCAAATGGTGTTGCCCTCCGCCTGACAATGCCCGAGGAGGAGGAGGAGGAGGGCGAAGTTCAGGCAGAGGAGGAGTACGGAGGAGGAGGACGAGGAGGAGGAGGAGGAGGGGGAGGAGGAGGATGAGGAGCAACAGCAGGAATCATTTGAGAGAGTTTCTGTGGAGCCCACGTCAGCCAGAACCCTTATCGCGCGAGGAAGTGACACAGTAAGGCCCTAGATCGCCCCTCCAAGGACCACTCCAGGGGAATCACCAACCGCGCCAGACGCACTGACCAGACGCACCAAAAAGATCCTAAACCAGCGCTTTCCCAAACCAAAGCTTTCGCAAGACCGCCTCTGCAGCGTCCACCTCTCCTGAAGCCGCTGGCCGCGCCAAATGCACTGTGCCCGACAAGAGGATCTCAAACCGGCGCTCTCGTACAAGGGGTCCTCCCACAATCTCAATCTGGGGAAACCGAAAGGTACCGATACGGCTACTCCCCAGACCTCTACCGGGGTGCGTTCTGACCAGAATTTCGAGGCGAATCCAGCGGTGGCGACGAAGGCCTCCCAGAAGGCCCAACAATTGGAAAACGAGGGAAGGGTGGCGGCATGGGTACCGTTTCCTCCTCCGACAATCGCCGCCAATCTAAGGCCAACCCTCTTGGGAACCACCGGCCGCGCCAAGCGCACTTGACACGCCAGGACTCCTAAACTGGCGCTTTCGCAAGGGAAGTTTTCTCGGAACCATCGACCGAGAAAGGGGGCACCAGAGGGGACGACCCTCGACCCCACACCATTCCTCAACCCACCTTTCCTCGTCCTCCTCGTCCTCCTCCTCCTCCTCCTCCTACCCTCCTCCTCCTCCTCCTCCTTCTCCTCCTCTTCCTCCTTCTTCTCCTCCTCCACCTTTCTTCCTCCTCGTCCTCCTCCTTTCCTCTACCTCTTCCTCGTCCGGGCTGCCTCCTCCTCGTCCTCCTCGTCCTCCTCGTCCTCCTCCTCTTCCTCTTCCTCCTCCTTCTCCTCCTCCTCCTCCTCCTCCTCCTCCTCCTCCTCCTCCTCCTCCTCCTCCTCCCCCTCCTCCGCGTCATTGCCGTCCTCCATGGTGGGAGAAAGAAAATCATCGGTATAAACATGACCTTGCGGGGATCCCTGCGGATATCTTGGATCGGCGATGGACCTCCCTCCTCTGGCGCGCGGAGTGCGCCAGGGGCGGCGCCGGAGGCGCATCCAGGGGTGTCGGCGCCGATCCACGCAATTCGGGTGGCGTTCCGAACGTTTAACGCTAGCGCCGACACCGTTTTCTTCGAGGCGTCTTCGAGCAGCGTCTCAACCGAAACGTGTCGCGCCGAAGCGTCGCAGCACGCTGCTCAAGCGGTCCCGACAGTGATGCCCAGCGCCTTCCCCCTGTCCCGTCTCGGCGTCGGCAGGCCGCCTGGGCCGCTCCGAAGCCTCCCCGATCCCCCCCCTCCTCCTCCTCCTCCTCCTCCTCCTCCTCCTCCTCCTCCTCCTCCTCCTCCTCCTTCTCCTCCTCCTCCTCCGCCCCTCCTCCTCCGCCCCTCCTCCTCCTCCTCCTCTCCTCCTCCTCCTCCCTCCTCTTCCTCCTCCTTCTTCTTCTTCCTTCTTCTCCTCCTCCTCCTCCTCCTCTTCCTCCTCCTCCTCCTCCTCCTCCTCCTCCTCGCCTACGAGAGCAAACAATGTCATCAGCGTATCAACTCGAAGCTCCGCGCGGATCTCCGAATTCTTTCAGTTCGTGTCCTCGTGTGTGTCCCTGGCGGAACCTCCCTGGCCCGCCCATCTGATGGGGGCTCCAAGGCCCCAAGCTGGCAGGGCCCGCGTGGCGGCCCCGCCCAATTTCGGCAAGCACGTTGCACGCTTCGTGGCCCCATGAAGAGAACCACTGGACGCGGTGCTCACAACGACGGTTCTCACAGCTGCATATGGCTGAGTCCCTTCGCCAGGCTGGTTATGCTTATATCATTGCTTGTCCTTGCCAGGACCTTCCCGACCCACTCCCTCGCCGAAGGCCCCGCCCCATCCCGCCCTGCAGTGGCCTCCAGGTAGCTGCTGAACGCGTCCAGGTTCTGCCTGCGCACGAGCTCGATGCCCCTCAGGTCCAGCGCCTCTCCGAGGGGGCGGGGCGGGGAAGGGGGCGACTGCTACACTTGAAAGTGCACACCGAGCCTAAGCCATACAACAAATGCTTCCTACTGGCTGGCTTACGAGAGTTGTGGCAGGCGGCCGCGCCGTCCTAATCACTCCTCGAAATTAGCTGGTGGCTGGGTGCGCTAGGCATTCAGCTGCTGGCGAGGTGGGCGGGAGGGATCTGCCTGCTGAGCCACAGAGGTACGTAGCTACCTCGCCATGAAGATCGCACTCGACAGATGCCCAGCCAAGGGCATGACACCGCTGGCGGCCGTCTTTGGCTCCGTCAGCGTAAACCTCACCAACGAAAGCTGCGGCATGCGAGCGGCCATCAAGGAGCCAAACCACTGCTTCGGCCAAACCTGAACCAGGCGGCCTCGGGACCCTAAACGGCGGGGGCTCACGGGGCGCAGCGCGCGCGGCAAAGGCTTGGGGCTCTTCCAGGACTTCGACATCTCATTCCTCCAGATACCCCCCCCCCCCGAAATACAACGCTCTGAGGACGCTCCGTGAGTCTGTTGCCGATGTGGTCCTTGGGGGTTTGACGCATAATCTATACATATTTGTCGCGCCCGTGTCATACCCAGCATTATTCAACCTGCAATTGGTCCAGATGGACTGGGTCAGGTACGACGCTAGGAGGACATGATCCTGCCTCACAAATTTCCTGTCGGCCAGCGCTGCTTCGGCGTGGGAGGGGGGGGGGGGGAGCGGCTTCAACTCCTATCTTGATAGCGGCCTGCTCCTGCCTCGCTGCCGCTGGCCATCTGCGAAGGAGGGCTGGCGAAATGGTTGTGAGCGGGTGGGTCTCGCCATCCTTGCTGGCGAACATCATCGGGTTGGCCCGCGTCCAGCCGACTCCGGGTAAACTAAACTACGCAGCTCCTGAAGGCCCCAGACGGCTCCAATATGGAGGCCCGATGAAAGGCCCGAGCGGTCATTTCGAGCCCTCGGCCTGAGAAGCTCCCAGGAGGCCCCCAGAGGCCCCGAAGAAGCCCCCTGGGAGGCCCCAAGAGGCCACCAAAGACCCCCAGGAAGCCCCAAGAGGCCCCCACGCGGCTCCCAAGCGGCCCCCAAGAGACCCCCAAGAGGTCCCCAGACTACCCCCAAGAGGCACCCGAGAGTGCTCGTCGTCGTCGTCGTCGTCGTCGCCATTCAGGGTCGGCGTCGCTGGCCGTCAGGCCGTCGCAATTCGCAGCTCCCAGAGGACCCCAGATGCGAACCCATCCTAGGGGAGGCTTTTCAAGGATACCAGCTGCAAGACGCCTGACATCAGAGAGCCTGAGATGGGATTTCCGAAGGCCCTGGGCAGCTCGGAAGGCGATCGTACCCCAATAAACTCACGGCCCCGAGGCCGATCTCCAGGCGGGGTCTTCGAGGACAGCAAGCGAAAGAGCTCTTGAACGAATGGCGCACTGGGGCCCCGCGGCCTTCAGAAACATATTTTGCAACTCGTGAAACTCTGGGGCAGTAGAACCTAAGATCTAAATTGCAGAATATCTAGCTTGCTGGTGAGCTGCGTTCCAAATCTTCTTGGCGTCTGCTGCCGCGGATCGCGATGCTCTCAATCGACGAAGGCGCGGGCGCAACTTCGCTGCGCGCCCTCTGGAAGCATGTCTGCTTTTACTCCGAAGTCGGGCTCCTGCAGTGAAGTTAACCCCGCCCGCTGTCCCAGGCGGGCCGGCAGATCTGCCTTGATCATCGGCGTGGGCGCTGCGGCGTCAGCCTTGTGTTTGGCGATCTCACGTTAGAGACCGACGACGATCGACTGGTGCATACTAGCTGCGGCCATGGCAAGATCAGCTATCCATGCATTCGGCTTGCTGTCGTGGCTGGGCAACATTGAATCGTCTATGAAAATGGTTGGCTGCACCCTGGGGTCCAAGGCAACCCGGGCGTCTACGGGCGGCGAACAACATGGCCGAAACGCCAAACTTGCAGCGCAGCAGCCTGCAGCGATACCACTGCGAGGGCAACCTGCAGGAAGGGCGGATGCTCGGGTGGCTACAGTTCTGGGCGGGCATCGGTTGCGCATGATAACGACGAGCGGGTCCGATGCATCAATCTCCTGAGCTCTATCCCTCCAGAGCTTACGACCGACCTGCTCGTGATAATTCGGCGGGCCCCAAGAGGCCGCGGCCGAGGGGGCTTCCCCTCTCCCAAGGGGCGCCCGTCAGCTTGCATTGCTGGCTCGAAAGCAACTTCTGAAACTCCTTCCCCAACTTGGCGCGCAAGATATCTACGGGGATGAGCTCGTTCCCGAGCCCAGAACTCCAGCTGCCGATGCTTGCCCTGAACTCTCCAAAGACCAGGCGTTATACGAATGCTCCCGTAGCTTGGACTTGGGACCTGGCTTGTGCATCTCGATGGAGGCCGCGGCGATGGCTCTGATTTGGGTCGGGGAGGCGTGAACTTTTCAATGGCACTGGGGAGCTTGCGCGCAACGTCCAGATGGCCATCTTCCAGGAGGCTGAAGTGCCATGGATTGAGCCCGTCGCAGGTCCTAGCTGTAGTGCCCTGAAACTTCGGCTGGATGCTCGAAGCTGATCTGGCGAAATGTCGGCGAGGTCCTCACCTCGCGGCCGTGCTCGCAGAAGGTCAGGCTCGGCAGGATCCGCAAGCCATAAGCAACTTCAGCGTTTCTGCTCGGCCTCCACCATGTCTAGCGGGCGGCCTGACAAACGGGCTTTGGCGGGCTCCAGACACGATGCGTTCGGTGATTTCATTGGGGTAGACGTTTCTCTTCCACACTTTACCCGCGGGCAGCCGAACTCGCTTGTTACGATGGGCGCATCCAAATCCACCGATGGGCCCATCCGGTTCCTTTTCCCATGGCCTCCTTGACCCAGCGCTTCCAGGACTGTCGACCATCGGATCAAGCTTTCGCGATCTCACGGTCGAGTGCCTCGGCGATCTCCGAATCGAGGTCTTCGTCAACTTTCGCGATGAGCTCAACATCTGGCTCCGTGTGAGTGGCGTCCAAAAGGGCGGTCTGAATGCGCGTTCTGACGCTGGTAATCAAATCTGCAATTTCAGCAACACCTTCTAAATTGCCCGGTGGATCGGCAAGGTCAAGGTGGGCCTGCTGAAATTCTTTCAAGGCGTGCTCTTCCACTCCTCGATGTATGTTGATCACTTAATTGCGTGGCCATCTGGAAGCTCCCCCAGCTCCTCCTGTCCGTGGCCTCAACAGCCTTGCTTGGGATCCACCTAATCGTCGGAGCCTGGGCACGTCGCCTCGAACTCCGCGGCGGCGCGCCGGTGAAAATGCTGAGCGCCGTGGGCGCGTCGTCGACGAGATGGCCGTGCGCGGCGCCCGCGGCGGCAACTCACGCTTGTGAAGAGACTGGCTGAACTGGCTCGGGGTCCGCGGCATCCATGAAGACGGCATATTTGCCTCGATCCTCCAGGAGGGATGCCAGCAGCTCCAGGGCCCCCTGACTCCCAGACCACGAAGAGCATTGGTTTCTTGGGCCCAGCGGCCCACAGGGACCTGGACAGGAATGTGTTGAGGTTGCTCCAGGACACGGGCGGGCTACGAGGCCCTAGTCATCAAATCCATCAGAGCTGGCCTACGTGGGCTACTTGGCTAGTCCACCAAAGCTGCGGGCTGCTCCAGGTAGTGCTCGAACCAATGCGGCCCTAGGAAAAAGTCTATAGCATAGTGGACTTCGGCTTCTTCTTACATGGCGTTTTTCTTGTTAGCGTGATCGCCTGGGCCCCTGCCCTGGTCGGTAGGTAACTCCGTTTCGACCGCTGTGCTAGGGCGCGCATTGGAATCGCCTGCCATGATCAGCGGCAGGACATTGTCGGAGGCAACCTACACCACGCTGGCAAGAGCGGCCAGGTTCTCCTCATTCTCGCCTACCAAACCGACCAGGTATACACGTATATATAATATATATATATATATATATATATATATATATATATATAATATATAAATATATATATATATGACATAAAAATCCTCTGGGCAGAAGGGCTGATGTCCTGGACTTTCTGCGCTGGCGACACAAGGCCGCGACCCTGGAAATCTCTCTGGGGGTGTTAACTTGGTTATCCCAAGATCTAGGCCACTACGTACTAATACTCAAGTGCCCTGGCATGGAGACCCTTTGGCGCTCAAAACAGCTGGAGTCAAAACTGCGAACCATCCCCTATTAGCGCACCAAATCTGTTTTTTGGCTAACCCATGGGCTAGAATGTACGTTTCTTGGCAGCAAGCGACCTGGACGGACTTGGCAGCAAGCGAACCTGTGAATGCCAAGCCAACTGCTACACTTGCAAGTGCAAATCGAGAGTGCGTTACCCACGCTGCGTCTCACCTGATGCTGCCGCTGCACCAGAATCGCAAGGTTTGTGAACAGTGGCCTGACGCTTGGAGGGCCGCTCCTGCGCATTGGCGGCCTCGTCGCTAAGGCCCTGGCTGCAGAACTTGCTGTCGAATATCAGGCTCTCCTCCGCGGCGTGAGCCTTCCTAATGGTGCCGCGGTCGGTGTCCACGGGCATGTCCAGGCTCTCGCCTGGCTGGTCGTCTGGCGCTGCAGTTGCATGAACACCACCTCCTGCTGGACCACATGCGGGCACCGCAGGCGCCACAGGTGCAGCGTCGGCTGCGGGGGCAGGCTGCTTCTCGAGCTGTCACCGCAAGTGTTTCCACTCATCTTTGACCTTCGCATTGGCACTCCTGGGCTCATGCTTGATGCTGGCCGGCAGACCGTTCGGGAACCTGGCACCCACGAGATCGAACAGGGTGGCGGGCTCGGGTGTGCCGTTGGGGCGGGCTGCCGCCTCTGCCACCGCAGCCTTGGCCGCCGCACTGCGTTGCGCCCCCAGCTGCTCTTCCTCTGACTGCAGTTCTGACTGCAACTCCACTGACTTGTCGTGCGCCTCCGCAGCCTTGTCGAGAGTGATGTTATTCTTCTCGGCTCCATACGTCTGCGCTGCGGCTGGAGTTGATCAGCAAGGGACTGGGACTTGGCGTCCAAATATTCTTCTCGTGCCTGGATGTGCTGTTTGCCTTCCTGTCTGACCGTTTCCTTCCAGACGTTGACCGCCTGGATGCAGATGGAGACATCATCCTTGGCGTGGTCGGGGACCTCTTGCGCGGGGGACGATTTGGGACCACTCGTAGTCGGCGCAGCCGCTGACCCTGCTGCGGCTGCGGTGCCAACGAATGCGCTTGTCCTGCTTCTGCTGCTGCTGTGGGATGCCTGAGGAAAGGGCTGTCCTGCCACCTCGGCCTCAGGGCGCTCGAGCCAAAAAGGCTACGGGAGGAGGAGGATGTGGAGGAGGAGGGGGGGCGAGGAACGATGAGCGAGAGAACAGGAGCGACGAGCAAGCGCGACGAGGAGCGCAGAGCGATGAGCGATGAGCGAGAAGCGAAGAGCGATCAGGAGGAGAGGAACAACGATACGATGTTGATCATCATCACCAGCATCCTGATCATGACCAGTACAACCACCAACATCAGCACCATCATCATCATAACCACCATCACCAGCATCATCATCACCATCACCATTACAATCATCAACAGCAACATCACTCACCAGCAACATAATCAGCATATCATCATCATCGTCATCATCAGCATCGGCATTATCATGATTATGCTCATAGTCATGATCATCATGATTAGCATGATCATCATTGGCATCAGCATCATCATCACGACCATCACTATCACCATGAGCATCACCGCCACCATCACCATCAGCATCAGTATCATCATCGTCGTCGTCGTCACCATCATCATCGTCATCAGCAGCAGCAGAGGCAGCATCAGCATCAGCATCAGCATCAGCATCAGCATCAGCATCAGCATCAGCACCAGCACCAGCACCAGCACCAGCACCAGCACCAGCACCAGCACCAGCACCAGCACCAGCACCATCATCATCATCATCATCATCATCATCATCATCATCATCATCATCATCATCATCATCATCATCATCATCATCATCATCATCATCATCATCATCATCATCATCATCATCATCATCATCATCATCATCATCATATTATTCCTCTTCAGCATCATCACCATCCTCATCATCATCACCACACCCACCACCATAATCATCATCACCACCACCATCACCATCACCATCACCATCATCATCATCATCATCATCATCATCACCACCATCATCACCATCACCATCACATCGCCATCATGATCACGATCACGATCACCATCGCCATCGCCATCACCATCACCATCACCCTCACCCTCACCCTCACCCTCCTCCTCCTCCTCCTCCTCCTCCTCCTCTTCCTCTCTACTCCTCCCCCCACTCCCTCCCCCTCCCCCTCCCTCGTAATCTCCTTCACTCCCGCCTTCTCCTCCTCCTCATCATCATCATCATCCTGCTTCCCCTCCCTGCTCCTCGTCGTCTTCTCCCTACCTAATTAGCTCGTCCCTCTCCCTCCTCCTCCTTCCCACTCTGCTCCGGCAACGCGCGGGCCTCGATGCCCGCGTTGACGGGGTTGTCCGCTCCGGACGCGCCCATGCCGGGGACCGGGGACTGGCGGCAGGGCGGGCAAGGTTGGCCGTCGAGTCATCGAGGGCGGCCTCGGGATGTAGAGGGCAGAACAACCACGAGGCCCAGGAAACTGCAGGGAAGGGCCCCAGGAAGCCCCAGGTAGGGCGGAGGTGAAGGGACGGGGCGGCCTGGGATGGGCAGGGGAAGAATAGGAGGAGGAGGAGGAGGAGGAGGAGGAGGAGGAGGAAAAGGAAAAGGAAGGAGGAGGAAAAGGGAGAGGAGGAGGAGGAGGAGGAGGAGGAGGAGGAGGAGGAGGAGGAGGAGGAGGAGGAGGCGGAGGAGGGAGAGGAGGAGGAGGAGGAGGAGGAGGAGGATCAGATGAGACACCCATTGGGGCAGGAATCCCGATCTCGACTGAACGACCGGCATCGACTTGTTAGCCGCGAATTTCGGACCACCTGTCCTCTATGAGTTTCCAGGGTATCGAAGCCCCCCAAAAACCACTACAACAACTCGCCCTTGAAAACCTCGCAAGCGCGCTGCTAGCCCAGCAGGACTTCTCCTGAATCCAGAGCCCTTAAAACTATGAGCGACCGAAGTCCTCACACGCTTGGAAAGATGAGGATGAGGAGGCGGAGAAGGAGGAGGAGGAAAAGGAGGAGGCGGAGAAGGAGGAAAAGGAGGAGGAGGAGGAGGAGGAAGAGGAGGAGAAGGAGGAGGAGGAGGAGGAGGAGGACGGGGGATGCATGAATTGCTGCAGGTGTGCAGGTATGCATGAATCCATCATTGCGTGAATGTGTTGTGAACCGTGGCCGCCGATGCTCGGCTCTAGAAGTCGCATCATTGCCACGCCAGCCGAAGGCCGAAGTGAGGCGGAAGAAATGGCGGATTCCGCATGACTTGCATGAGTTGCTGCAGGTGTGCAGGTACAGTGGGGGCATCGGATGAGGACCCCCTTAGGAATCCAAGGTCTGGAAGCCTGTGAAACTCCAGCTGGTGTTTGGCCATGGACATCACCGTCAACCTCATCAGATAAGGAATCCTCCGGAGTATGAAACCTCCTGTGCACATTCCTTAACGAACGCCCTTACTGTATGCGTGAATGCATCATTGCGTACATGTGTTGCGAACCGTAGCCGCCGAGGCTCGCATCTAGAAATCGCATCGTTGCCACGGCGGCCGAAGTCTGAAGGGAAGCGCAAGAAATGGGGGATTCCAGAAATCCTGAACCCAGAAAAGGTTGTCATCTCTGAGGAAATCGATTCCGCTGGCTTCCGCTGGCTTCCGCCGGCGGATCTGGCCTCGTTTTGCTTCCGCCGCCTTCCGCCGACCTTCCGCGGCCTTCCGCCGCGGACGAGATGGCAACTCCTTCGATCCCCGAAGGCAAGGCCAACGCTCCAAATGACAGACAGGGGAGCGCCACATTTGCTTGTTCTCTTACTGCAGCGCGCTCGCCAGAAGGCTCGCTCGCTTCGTCCGTATCGGCCCGAACGCCAGGGAGGCGGCGGACAGGAATCCCTCCTGTGCGCGAACAGGGTCACGGTCTCAGACAGGCGAGCGCCACGAGAGATAGCCCGAGCTACGGCCAGGAATGGTGCGTGTCCAGTCCTGGCCCACGGTCCGGGGGATCTCTCCTCTCTCATGCTATGCGCCTCCAAGCTCGCTGCAACTCATGTTACCATGTAGAGCCAGAGGCTTTGCGTGAGCTTGGGCCTCCTGGGTCCCTGCATGGTGTAGCGAGGCGGCTGCCCTGATCCTGCAGCCTCGACATAGAAGGGGGTGTTGGAGGCCCATGGTCTTCATACGAAGTTCGCCCGCAGCGTACGAGGCGGCTTCTCACAGCCGACCCCCCGTTCCACAGAGACGATGGCAGCGATGCCCGGCCCCGCCGATTGGAAAGGAACGCGGCAGAGCGCACTGCACCGACATCGCACAGACTGCCGCCTTTACCCCTCTCGTTCTCTCAGGCGACGGCGTTGAGCTGATACGGGCCGACCATTCGCCGCTTCTTTGAGTTCACGTTGGAGGGAAACCTGCCCATGAATCGGCCCTCGATAGTATCGATAGCTGCGCGCTCGTCTACTGAGACAGTTTCGCGGAGGGCGATATCATGCTGCATCGGGGTGATTTCGCGGTGCACGGCCTGGCTTGTGCATGCCCTGACTTCTCCACAGCTTTGGGTCGGGCATGTCCCCCATACAGGGGGATTTTGGACGAAACATAAAACATAGGCAACACATTAAACATGCTCAATCAAAAGTTTAAGTATCGTCCTCAGACAAGTTGTTTGACTCTTTCTGAATCTTCCCTCTGTAGAGGGACACGCCTGACTTAACCCCAGCTCTGAGCACCTTTTGATGGTCGTGCCCCCGGTGATCGGCATCGGAAACGCGGGCCAGGGCGAGAGGACTTCGACGTGCATGACTGAAGGGGCCCCAGGACACACAAATAAACACACACAAATAAAAGTATTCCCCATATTTTCCCATACTTTCTGGCTTTTTGTCTTCCCCCCCACTTCCCATATTTTCCCATATTTTCGGGGAATCGACGATTCATTGTGTCTGTGTGTTTTTTCCCCTCCCGAATGACGTCGAACGACGCAACTGTAGCACGCTGGCGGTGGGCGCGTGCCCGAGGTCTGCCGGGAGCCTCGCGCTGCGCGCGCGGACGCGGTGGAGGCGGGAATCGCAGGCTGGGCAGACTTTTTTCGGTCGCGGGCGGACGCGGAAACGCTGTCGCCGAAGGAGAGGTCCGGGCCACGGGCCTGCCAAATGAACTACGCGCAAGCCTAGAGCGAAGCGGCCGGGCCTGCACTCAGAAGCAGCAGCCGGTGGGACTGCAGCTGATGGGGAGCTGGCTGAGAGGCGGGGCAGACGCGAAGGTCGTGGCCCTGTGCCGGGGTGTCGCTGTGAGGCAGGAGGGGCCTGCAGGAACCCGCCGCAGAAAGCGTGCAGGGCCCCGGGTCCTTGGGCCCCTCTTGGATCTCTCCTGCGGCCCTGGCGGCTTGCGTTAGGTCGGGCCTATCCCCCCTTACAGGGGGATTTTGGACGAAAAATAAAAATAATAAAAAATGCTCAAAAGATGCCCCCCAACAACTACTCAAACAATAGTCCCGACTATTTTTTTTGACTATTTTAGAAGATTCCCCCCTGTGGAGGGACAGGCCCGACGTGAGGCTTGCGAGATCTGCGCTGTAGAGCTTCGCTCGGGCTATCCTGCGGCCGCACCGGAGCCCTCCCATGGGACCCTCTTGGGGGGCGGGCGTGCGGCCCCGGCAGCTCCCAATGTGAAGATCGAAGCAGTAGCTCCACCCTCTTGGGGGGCGTGCGTGCGGCCCCGGCAGCTCCCAATGTGAAGATCGAAGCAGTAGCTCCTCCTTCTCCTCCTCCTCCTCCTCCTCCTCCTCCTCCTCCTCCTCCTCCTCTTCGCTCCTCCTCCTCCTCCTCCTCCTCGCTCTCCTCCTCCTCCTCCTCCTCGCTCTCCTCCTCTTCCTCCTCTCAGGGCCACCTCTCGGGGAGATGTGAGACTCGGGCACGGGGGACTCGGGTTGGCCTGACGGGGCCATCACGAAAATGACGAGACCCCATCTGAAATTTGGCGCGAGCTCCCGCTGCAAGCATCCCACGAATACGGGACCGTCAAACTCCAGGTCGCGCTCGTCGAAAAACTTTGGCAAACCCGAGTTCCGGCTTGCTCGAGTCTTACGTTTCCCCGAATCTTGTGTTCGCCTGGGGCCAGTGTGGTCTTCCTGCGACCCTGGCAGGTTCCCCAGCCACCACTCTGATACCGTAGTGCTACAATCCCCTGGGAGCCAAAATTCATCACATCCGTCCTTGAAGGATCTTCAACGACTGCCAGGAGGCAGAATTTCGGCTACGTTCGCAAGACAGCGTTTGGGCGTGCCTGCCCATCCGCTATCGTTCTGAGCAGGCCCACGGACGTATATTCTGGGGGATGCCAGCCCATCCTTGGAAGGTTGGCGTGGCACCGACTTTCGTGCCATTTTCGTTGCTCCATTCGTCACCTTTCCACTCCCCCTTCCACAATGGAGGGGAACACTTTTGTTAATCTCTGTCCCGGCCGCGCGGCCTAGAAAAGAACCTACCCACAAGTCCCTAAGTGTAGCATTTCAGCTGAAACCCGCACTTTCTGCTACACCAGCCTTGCCACTTGTGGGACTCGGGCGCCTGCCTCACGCGCATGCTTGATCTATCAATCCTCTGGTGTGCCCAGTGTGCACTCAAGCCCAGCTGCACCGACCACACCTCACAAAGACCAGGGTGAACACATCCTCTGGAAGAGGAGGAGGAGGAGGAGGAGGAGGAGGAGGAGGCGCAGGAGGAGGAGGAGGAGGAGGGTGTGCGAGGTCCCTACGAAGAACATCCACGTTGTAGATCCGCTTGGTGGGTCATCCTGTGACCGCTTTGGGGGCCTCTGAGGGTGCGGCATTCCTGCTGCGTGTGGGAGCTGGGCCCACCAGCGAGGTTTCGGCGCCCCAGCGCCATACTACCTCAAGTCCTTCTCCTCCCTCCCGCACCCTCTTCCTCCTCCTCGTCCTCTTCCTCCTCCTCCTCCCCCTCCTCCTCCTCCTCCTCCTCCTCCTCCTCCTCCTCCTCCTCCTCCTCCTCCTCCTCCTCCTCCTCTTGCACCTGCACCTGAAGGCTGTCACGACGATGTCCGTAGCCTTCCCGGACCCCACCACAGGGTTTTGAAAAAAAGGCTCCGAGGGAACACGACGGACGGGGACGACCCGAAAGGCCAAACAGCAGAGGAGGAAGAGCGGGGAAGGCGACGAGGAGAGGGAGAGCAGCCTGCACGACGAGGACCGGAAGGAGGGAGGAGGTCCCAGCTAACCAGTGAACCCCCAGAGCGCCCTCCCCGATAGCGGGCTGCACCGAGAGTGTGCCGACCTGAAGTCCCCACAGGGGCGGCGAAGCGGGGGAGGGCGCAAGGGGGGGGCCACCGGCGCTGGGGCCTCTAATTCACCTGCTGCCGGTGCGGTTGTCCGTCCGTCCCACCCAGCCCCACTCCACTCCTCCCAGACCGGGTGGAGCCGGAACGTTCGGGATGATTTAAGGAGCCGTCGACCGCGGTTCTTGCCTCCAAGCAAAGTGTTGGCGAACTGGAAGACAGATTTCTGTCGCCGTTCACTCATGTAAAGCTTCCTGCTTCATTTTTTGCGGGGGCCGCCTTTGCTTCTTCTTCCTCGTTCTCCCCACCCCCGTCGCCCGGGGGCGCGGGCGTGACCGTGGTGGGACTGCGCAGCCTCGACGGCCGTCCGCGCGCTGCGGGGGGCGCGCGGCCGCTCCGGCCAGCAGGGGGCCGACGGCTGGAGGGAGGCGCGGCGCCGCCTCCGCGGTGCCGGGGGTGGACTGCAGCCCCGGGGCCGCGAGCGCTGCGTGCGCGCGCCCCGGCGGGGCCGGGTGCCCCGTGCGGGGGTCTCCTCGCGCGACCTGCGGAGGATACCGCGGACGCAGGATGGGGGAGGAGCCGACGGAGGCAAGAGTTAGGTCGGGCATGTCCCCCTACAGGCGGGTTTTGGACGAAAAATGAAAAATAGTCAAACAATACCCCAAAATGTTCAAAAGAATACGAGAGAAAAACGTCCCCATATTTTATTTTTATACTATTTTTGGATATTCTTCCTGTAGAGGGACAGGCTCGACTTAAGGCAAGAGGAACACCGCAAACGAGGGGAGGGGCAGGAGGCGGAGGCGAGGCAGAGCCAAAAACGAGGGGAGGGGCAGGCGGAGGCGAGGCGCAATCGGCAACGAGGGGAGGGGCAGGAGCCGGGGTGCGACTGGTGCCCAGCAGGCGGCCGCGGCCTCGCACGCCGACGTCCTTGCGGGACCCCAGGCGGCCAGCGCTGATTCGAGGTGGGGTGGCGCAGGCGCCAGCCGGGCAGTCCTGCGCTGGCTGCGTGCTGCTGGGCACGCGGCGGCGGTGCTCGAATCCGCTGCTGGGCAGGCCACGCAATGCAGCGAGATGGGCGGCGGCTGCGCTACCCCCTGCAAGCCAGGGGCGGGTGCGAGCGCCGACTTAGAGCCTCCACTGCCGGGCACGCAGCGCGCGGGTGAGACGGTGGAGGGGGGAGAACAGGGGCGAAGCACGAGGTGGATAGAGATGGGCCGTCGCTGCCATTCGCGTGTCGAAGCAGGCGGTGCCGCTCGGGCACGCGCCGCGCGGGTTCCTGGGACCTCGTGCTACGGTTCGCCTGCTCTTCTCTTCACTTTCGGTTCCCAGGGGCTTCTGGTGGCCCCGTCACCGTTTTCTGGCCAAGGACGGGCGGCTGCGCAGGGTGCGAAAATAGGGCGGTTCCAAGAACTGACAAAGAGATGGTGTGGACATGTGCGGTAGTACGCAAAGAGTGGCGATCAAAGAGCTATTCGAGCGTTCGCGGTTCTCCTTCCGCCCCTCACGTGTCCATCCGTACCCGACCCATAAGAGCTGGAAGGATAATGACGAGGAGGGAAAAGCGGGCGGGCAGGCAGGGAGGGGAATGTTGGAAGAATGCCACTCGCGGCTGGTGTTCGTGGCCAGCGGCGAACCGCACCTGCCGGTACCGGGGCCGCTCCTGGAGTGCGGGTTCGTCCTCTGATGCCTCATCCGAGCTTTCCCCGGAAGTGCCGCCCCCGTCCTCCTTAGCGGGCAGGGTGAACTCTTCGACATGGTCTTCAAACTTGTTTGCGTCGGCGGCTAGGCAAGGGTCGTCTGCGCTGGTGGATGGATCCAACTAAACGGGGGCACCGTTGTAGCGGAATGGTGTGGTCTCCAAGTGCCTGCCAGGGCCTGCGAACAGAGGCTGGTATGAAGCAACCATTCCAGTACTTGGCAGGATCTGGACCGATCTCCTCGCGCGGGCTATACAGGCACACCGCGAGTATCTGTACCGTGATCCCATGTTGTCCCAAGCCGCGATGGTGTCTAGGGCAGGGTGCCTCTCCTCCCTGCGGTGCCTCTGGAAGCGGTAGAAGGCCGCGAGCTCCACGACGGAAGCGTTGACGTATCGGAGCGGGGTCTCCTTCGGGGGCGTGGCGCAGGCACAGCTAGCTCCCAGGGCCTGGATGAGCTCGGAGCGGGCGTGGAGATGTTCGGCGTGGAGAGGGCCCCCCCCCGGGCTTGCATGAGCCTTACGATCGGTCCGACTGCTCGGTCGGATCTCCGCCGCCTCCACCTGCCCGCCTGCCCGCGCACCGGGCGCGAGGGGCCGCCGCTGCACGGACCGAGACCCCGCTGCCGACGGCGGCCCCGGGCCCGCGCGGAGCGAAGCAGGGGGCGCGCCCTGCGCCGGTATCCCCCTGGGGCGACAGCGGCCACGGGGTGGTGCCTGGGCAGGCCGCGCACGCACAGGCCGAAGGCGCTGCACTGGGCGCACCCGCCCCGGCATCCCCTGGGGCGGTCGCGGTCTGGGGAGGCGCCGAGCAGACAGGGGCACGCACGCTTTGCTGCGTCGGCGGCGAGGCAGGGGTCGTCTGCGCCAGCGGAGAGGCCTCAACGGGGATGCCGTCAGAGCGAATCGTGCCAGTGGCGAAGCACGCGGGGCCCCTGGCGTCCAAGCTGCAGAATCCTCCGAGCAGAGCGGGACCAGGGCTCCGTCGAACTGGTCAGCGTCGCGGCCGGGCTCGTGCTCGAGCCCGGTGATTCCTTTGGGGGGACGAGGCCCGCCGCCTCTAGGTCCTCTGTCTTGTCCTCCTGGTCGTTGTCCGGCGCGCCCCCTTCGTCCCGGTAGCTGGCGCAGGCGAAGCGGCGGTCGTAGTCGAGGTCGTCGGAGTCCGCGGTGCTGAAGGAGGCCTCGGTGTCGGACTGCTGGTCGCTGCGGCTGCTGCCCTGGGAGCCGTGGGCCGCGGGGTCGTGAGCCTGCTCGACCGCTGGCTCGTCCCCGGTGGCTTCCCGACGCCCGCACTCCGCCACTGACACTCGTGCCTGCAAGGCTGCAGGTGTCGGGGGCGCGGCCTCGGCCGCGGCCTCCGTCCCGACGCGCGCGGCGGGCGTGATTGGTGGAGGAGGTCGAGGGCGAGCGGCGGGGCGACCACGGGGACCTCCCGCCGCATCTCCTCCTCGCAGCCCCGGCTGCTGTAACCAGAGCGGGCGCAGTCCGCCCACGCGCCTGGCGGTCCAGCGGCGACGCTTCGGTCAGCACGGGTGCCCGCGCTGCCTGCCGCCCCCGCGGTCGCCCCTGGCGGCAGGAGTGACCGTCGGCAGGACGAGCTTGGCCGAGCAATAGTGGTCGGCGGGGTATGTGCGAACCTCACGGTCGCCATTCTCGGCCTTGCTGGGAGCCCCAAGGCCCGGTGCGGTGATAGCCACGTATCCGTAAGCCAAATCGTGGTCAGGCCGGACAGTACGAAGAGTCTCGTGCACGTGTTTCAGCCTGTCACGCTCAGCACCCCGTCGAGCGCCTTTGGCGATGGCCGCGTCCGCGGCCTGGATGGCCCTGTTCTTGGCGGCGGTGCGCTCAGCCCTGGAGCGCCTTCAGCAGCCAGGAGCGGCCGCTTCCCGTTGGTGCGTCGCGGCAGGGAGCAGGGTGAAGGACGAGAATGCGGTGTGCAGAGGTATGGGAGATCAGAAAAGCCACAGTCGAGGGAGACCTGCCGCTGTGTCGGCCAGGTCGGCGTATCTGGCCACTAGCTGCTTGAGCAGCCAATGGCTCTCCTTCTCCTCCTCCTCCTCCTCCTCCTCCTCCTCCTCCTCGGGGCCGTTCGCCTCTTCCACCACCAGAGGCGCCCCCTTCAACCCGCCCGCTGGAGCAACAAAGGACCCTCTGAGTCCGCCGTCGTCCTCCTCCTCCTCCTCCTCCTCCTCTTCCTTCTCCTTCTCCTTCTCCTTCTTCTGCTTCTGCTTCTGCTTCTCCTCCTCCTCCTTCTCCTCCTCCTCCTCCTCCTCCCTCTCCTGCTCCTGCTCCTGCTCCTGCTCCTGCTCCTGCTCCTGCTCCTCCGCTGCTGTCGAAGCTCTCGAACCGAGCCCGAGCCTGCAACAGTCCCCAGGATGGCCGCGCAGCTAGGGCGGTGGGAGCGAAGACAACGCTGGGGCTTCGGTGCCAGCGTGGTGTTCGTTCCCCCGTCTGGGGTGCGTGGTTCGACTGGGCCCCTGGTTACATTAAACGTTCTTAAACGTTCCTCCATCTCCTCCTCCTCCTCCTCCTCCTTCTCCTCCTCCTCCTCCTCCTCCTCCTCCTCCTCCTCCTCCTCTTGCTCCTCTCCCTTCCCCCTCCCCTCCCTCTCCAGAATCCTCCCCTCCAGAAACTACGCGGAATCCTCCCCTCCCCCGGAGAAGCCCTGCTGGCAGCGCCGCCGAAAGCCTGCTGCCCGAAGGTGGCCTCCAGTCTGGGCTGGTACCGGAACTTCGCGCCCCAGTGGCCTTGGCACGGGGCTCGACGTGACGGGGCTCAGCGCTAGCGCGATGCCGCCGCCGCCGCCGCCGACGACGACGACAACGCCACCACTGACGACGACGACGACGACGACGACGACGACGACGACGACGACGACGACGACGACGACGACGACGACGACGACGACGACGACGACGACGACGACGACGTGGAGGCGGGCAGCCCAAGAGAAGGAAGTGCGCCCTCTCGGACCTCTGGCTCCCTCTACGGGGGTGCCGCCTTCGTCCCCCTCCTCCTCTCCCTGCCCATTCCCTTGCTCCAGCCCTCTTCTCTCCTCCCGTCCTCCCCCTCCACCTTCTCCTCTGCTCCTCCTCCTCCTGCTCCTCCTCCTCCTCCTCCTTCTCCCCCTCTTCCTCCTCCTCCCTCCTCCCTCCTCCCTCCTCCCCTCCTCCTCCTCCTCCTCCTCCTCTCCTCCTCCTGCTCCTCCTCCTCCTCCTCCTCCTCCTCCTCCTCCTCCTCCTCCTCCTCCTCCTCCTCCTCCTCCTCCTCCCCCTGCTCCTTCCCCTCCTCCAGCCCCTCTTCCCCCTCCGGTCCTCCCCCTTCTGCTCCTCCTCCTCCTCCTCCTCCTCCTGCTCCTCCTCCTCCCAACAGGGTGCTCCTCCTGCAGGGGGGGAGGAAGACGGACGGACGGAAGGAAGGAGTAAGGAAGAGGAGGAGAGGAGAGGAAATGGGCAGAAAGAGAGGAGGGGATGGCTGGACGGGCGGGGGCACCAACCAACAGGACGAGGATGGGGGAGGATTGGGATAATAGTGATCTTAAAGGTGATGCAAGATGAGAAGGAGGGGCAAAAGGATATGGAGAAGGGGAAAGCAAAGGAGGCGGGACCGCTCGGCGACTCGACGACTGCGTGGCAGTCGCCGAGCGGCGAGCTGCGGCTCGGAGGCGGTCTGTAACGAGCGGCGCCACCGCCAGGCAGCTCCGCAAACAATTGGAACGGAACGTGTTGGGCCGTGTTCGGCCTCCGGGGGCCCTCGCTGGGCCCCGGGCCGGCAAAACTACGACTCCAGACGAGAAGCCGGGCCCTCGGGAAGTGGTCCAGGCCTCCGGGGCCCACGCATGGATTTTTTTTTCGTTTCAACCCCAACGCGTTTTCCTGCAGGGACTGGGGCGGCGACAGCCTGCAGAAAGATTCCCCGCCAGAGTTAGGCAGGGATACAAGGCCACCAGCAGGATCCTGCAGGTGGAAAAGCAGCACGGACCGTCAGCCCTCGACTGCACAAGAGGACGGGCGGACATCAGCCAGGATGCTGGGCTGCGACGGTGTTGGGGCTAGGAGCCAGAGCTCCAGTCCACTGCAACACCCCAAAAGACGAGAGACTGACGGGGCTAGGAGCCCCCGTACTCCCGAGAACAGAGACGCCTCCTCGAGAGCGCCGCGCATACCTCTGAGGCGAGGAGCCAGTACACGTGCCGAACGCGTGCACACACGAGGCCACACGAAGCATGAGGAGGGCCCAGGCGTTGGGGCCAGGAGCGACGCTACCTGGCCACAGCAAACGCCAAAGTCGAGCGACTGTCGGGATAGAACTACCCCCGTGCTCGCTGAAGAAAGCCCTCAGGATGTGCGCACACCTTCCCCCTGAAGCGGGGTGCCTGACACACGTGCGAACACGAAGCGCACACACACGGAAAAAGAAAGGCCCACACAAGGACGACGAGGCCTGCCCCAGGTGCTGGATGCGCCTGGACGACATAGCCTCGCCCCAGACGTAGAGCTAAGGCATAAACGAGAAATAGAAAGGCCGAAGGCCACCAACACAAAATTCGCCGGCCCAGCGGGCCAGAGGCGTGCTAAGGTCTCCGGTAACTGGTTAACAGTATCTCTAGTTCGCGCGCGCGGGGCGGCCCCTGGGGGTCCCCGGACGAAAAGTACCCCGGGCGATCCCCGACCGACCCCCGAGCGATCCCCGGGAGACTCCCCCAGAGCGCTCCAGGAGCGCTCCAGGAGCGCACCAACAGGGCTCCGAGACGCCCCCGAAACCCTCAAGACGGGTCCAGATGCCCCCAAGAAGCTCCCAAGATGATACACAAGGGTTCCGAGATGCCACATGATCGCTCCAAGACGCCCAAGATGGCCCCCAGACGCCCCAAGAGGCCTCCAAGAGCACTCCCAAAAGGGCCCCAAGAAGCAACATTCATAGCTTTTCCTTAGGTTTTTGAAAGATTTTGGAGCTTCCACCTTTTCGGCTTCCCGACGCCCCAAGACGGCCCAAGAGGCCCCCAAGATCGCCCCAAGAGGGCCCAAGAGGCCCCCAAGAGGGCCCCAAGATGGCCCAAGAGGGCTCGAAGACGGCCCAAGAAGCCTCCAAGACGGTCCAAGAGGGCCCCAAGAACGCCCCCAAGGGGGCCCCAGAGAGGGAACACGAAACAACATTTCGAGCCCTCGGCCCTAAGAAGCCCCTACGAGGCCCCAAGAGGCCCCTAAGAGGCCCCAAGAGGCCCCCACGAGGCCCTCAGGAGGCCCCCAAGAGTCCCCCAAGCGGCCCCAGGAGGCCCCCCAAATGCCCCCCCGAGCGCCCCAGGAGTCCCCCAAGCGGCCCCAGGAACCCCCAAAGCGCCGCGTTGACACCAGGCCCTCGGGCAAACGGCAGACATGAGACTGTATGGGCCGGCGGAATGAGCGAAGCGATTAAATAAAATTATCCCGGCAAAGCAACCTAACAGCGATGTGTAGGAGCATATCTGAAAGCATCCCCCTTAAGATTCAGATGAGAATCCAGTTGTAGAGTTCTGCTGTTCTCGCAGTCGTAGTCGCATTCGCGATACCAGTCGCAGTGGCCTGCATTAGCCTCAGCCTCAGCCTCAGCCTGCCTCAGCATCAGCCTCAGCCTCAGCTTCAGCCTGCCTCAGCCTCAGCCTCAGCCTGCTCCTGCATCAGCCTCAGTCAGCCTCAGTCTGCCTCAGCAGCCTGCATCAGCCTCAGCCTCAGCCTGCCTCAGCCTGCCTCAGCCTCCTCAGCCTCAGCCTCAGCTCAGTCAGCCTCAGCCTCGCCTCAGCCTCAGCCTCAGCCTCAGCCTGCCTCAGCCTCAGCCTCAGCCTCAGCTCTGCCTTCAGCCTCGGCCTCAGCCTCAGCCTGCCTCAGCCTCAGCCTCAGCCTGCCTCAGCCTCAGCCTGCCTCAGCCTCAGCCTCAGCCTGCCTCAGCCTCAGCCTCAGCCTGCTTCAGCCTCAGCATCAGTCTGCCTTCAGCCTCGGCCTCGGCCTCGGCCTCAGCCTGCAAGAGCCTCAGCCTCAGCCTCAGCCTGGCTCAGCATCAGCCTGCCTCAGCCTCAGCCTCAGCCTGCCTCAGCCTCAGCCTCAGCCTGCTTCAGCCTCAGCCTCAGTCTGCCTTCAGCCTCGGCCTCAGCCTGCCTCAGCCTCAGCCTGCATCAGCCTCAGCCTCAGCCTCAGCCTGCCTCAGCATCAGCCATCCTCAGCCTCAGCCTCAGCCTGCCTCAGCCTCAGCCTCAGTCTGCTTCAGCCTCAGCCTCAGTCTGCCTTCAGCCTCGGCCTCAGCCTCAACCTGCCTCAGCCTCAGCCTGCTTCGGCCTCAGCATCAGCCTCAGCCTGCTCAGGCCTCAGCCTCAGCCTGCTCAGCCCTCAGCTCAGCCTGCTTCAGCCGCAGCATCAGTCTGCCTTCAGCCTCGGCTCGGCCTCGTCTCAGTCTCCTCTCACCTGCTTTCAGCCTCAGCCTCAGCCTCAGCCTGCTCAGCATCAGCTGCCTCAACTCAGCCTCACCTGCCTCAGCCTCAGCCTCACCTGCTTCGCCTCATCCCTCAGTCTGCTTCAGCCTCGCCTCAGCCATCAGGCTGCCTAGCCTCGGCTGCATCAGCATCAGCCTCAGCCTCAGCCTGCCTCAGCATCAGCCTGCCTCAGCCGCAGCCCAGCCTGCCTCTGCCTGCCTCAGCCTCAATCTGCCTTCAGCCCTCAGCCTCAGCCTCAAGCCTAGCCTCAGACCTAGCCTTGCATCATCCTCAGCCTCCGCCTGCCTCAGCCTCCGCCTGCCTCAGCCTTCAGCCTCAGTCCTCAGCCTGCCTCAGCCTCAGCCTCAGCCTGCTTCAGCCTCAGCCTCAGTCTGCCTTCAGCCTCGGCCTCAGCCTCAGGCTGCCTCAGCCTCGGCCTGCATCAGCATCAGCCTCAGCCTCAGCCTGCCTCAGCATCAGCCTGCCTCAGCCGCAGCCTCAGCCTGCCTCTGCCTGCCTCAGCCTCAATCTGCCTTCAGCCTCAGCCTCAGCCTCAGCCTTAGCCTCAGCCTCAGCCTGCATCAGCCTCAGCCTCAGCCTGCCTCAGCCTCAGCCTGCCTCAGCCTCAGCCTCAGCCTCAGCCTGCCTCAGCCTCAGCCTCAGCCTGCTTCAGCCTCAGCATCAGTCTGCCTTCAGCCTCGGCCTCAGCCTCAGCCTGCCTCGGCCTCACCCTGCATCAGCCTCAGCCTGCTCAGCATTCAAAATGTGGCCAGGGAATGGAATTCTGGGAACTCGAAGAACACGAAGTGGCCTACAGTTTGCTCCGGGCATTCAAAATCATACCCAGGAATGGAGTTCTGGGAAGTCCAAGAGCACGAAGTGGCCTACAATTGGCTCCGGGCATCCAAAGTGTGGCCCGGGAATGGAGTTCTGGGAACTCGAAGACCACGAAGTGGCCTACAGTTGGCTCCGGGCATCCAAAATGTGGCCCGGGAATGGAATTCTGGGAACTCGAAGACCACGAAGTGGCCTACAGTTGGCTCCGGGCATCCAAAATGTACGCTGGGAATGGAGTTCTGGGAACTCGAAGACCACGAAGTGGCCTACAGTTGGCTCCGGGCATTCCGAATGTGGCCCGGGAATGGCGTTCTGGGAGGTCAAGGAGCACCAAGTGTGTGACTGTTGCATCCGGTTATTCAGAATGTGGTCTGGGAATGGGGTTCTGAGAGGTCGACGAGCACGAAGTGTGTGACTGTTGGTGAAAAACGAGCCCGGCACAGGCCCGGCCGGCAACTCCCAACGCCT